AAAGAAATGCGGTCGATGGAGCGTAATTGTGGACACAGGGATGGTTTGAAGTGTGTATACTTCAATGCTAGAAGTATCAGAAATAAGGTGGATGAACTTAGAGCATGGGTCAGGACTTGGAACTACAATGTTGTGGCCATTACAGAAACTTGGGTAACTCAGGGAGAGGAATGGTTGTTGGAAGTTCCGGGATTTAGATGCTTTAAAAGAAATAGGGAGGGTGGTAAAAGAGGCAGGGGAGTGGCGTTGCTAGTCAGGGTTAGTATAGCAGCTACTGAAAGGCAGTTCGAGAATGATATGTCTACAGAGTCAGTTTGGGTTGAGGCCAGGAACAAGAAAGGAGCAGTCACTTTGTTGGGGGTTTTTTACAGACCCCATAATAGTTGCAGAGAAATGGAGGAGCGGATTGGGAGGCAGATACTGGAAAGGTGCAGAAGTCACAGGGTTGTAGTCATGGGTATATTCAACTTTCCAAATATTCATTGGAAACTTTTAAGTTGTAATAGTTCAGATGGAGCGGATTTTGTCCAGTGATTTCAGGAAGGATTCCTGATACAGTATGTATATTGACCAACATAAGGAGAGGCCACTTTGGATTTGGTGCTTGGCAATGAACCGGGCCAAGTGTTAGACCTGTTTGTAGGAGAGCATTTTGGAGGTAGCAATCATAACTCTGTTACTTTTACAATAGTCATGGAAAAGGATAGGTACATACAGCAGGGTAAGGTTTATAATTGGGGGAAGGGTAATTACAATTCTGTTAGGCAAGAACCGGGTAACATAAAATGGGAACAGATGCTGTCAGGGAAGAGCACGATAGAAATGTGGAGATCGTTTAAGGAATGCGCACTGCGTGTGATCGATTTGTTTGTCCCGAGCAGGCAGGCAATATGCGTTCGAGTGAGGGAGCCTTGGTTCTCTAAAGAGGTCGAACGATGAGCTAAGAGGAAGAAGGATGCTTATGTAAGGTTTAGGAAACAAGGATCGGAAAAGGCTCTAGAGGGATACAAGTTATCCAGGAAGGAACTGAAGAAAGGCCTAGGAGAGCTATAAGGGGGCATGAGAAAACCTTGGCAGATAGAATCAAGGAAAACCCCAAGGCTTTTAACACATACGTGAGGAATAAGAGAATGACCAGAGAAAGGGTAGGGCCTATCAAAGATTGTGAAGGGAATTTGTGCATGGAGCCTAAAGAGATAGGAGAGGTCCTTAATGAATACTTTTCTTCGGTATTCACAACTGAGAGGGACCTAGTTGGAGGGGAGGACAGTGTGAAACAGGCTGGTAGGCTAGAGGAGGTGAATGTTAGTAAGGAAGATGTCCTAGGAATTTTGAGGAACTTGAAGATAGGTAAGTCCCCCAGACCCGATGGGATTTATCCAAGGATTCTATGGGAAGCGAGGGAAGAGATTGCAGGGCCTTTGGTGATGATCTTTTCGTCCTCACTGTCCACGGGTATAGTGCCGGAAGATTGGAGAGTGGCAAACGTCATTCCCTTGTTCAAAAAAGGGAACAGGGATAACCCTGGAAATTACAGGCCAGTTAGTTTTACTTCAGTGGTGGGCAAATTATTGGAAAGGGTTCTCAGAGATAGGATTTATGATCACTCGGACAGGCACAGTTTGATTTGTGATAGTCAGCACTGATTTGTGAGGGGTAGATCATGCCTCACAAACCTTATTGAATACTTTGAAGAGGTGACCAAACACGTGGATGAAGGTAAAGCAGTGGATGTGGTATACATGGATTGAAGTAAGGCGTTTGATAAGGTTCCCTATGGTAGGGGCATGCAGAAAGTAAGGAGGCATGGGATGGGGGGAAATGTGGCAGATTGAACAAAGAACAATGAACAAAGAAAATTACAACACAGGAACAGACCTTTCGGCCCTCCAAGCCTGCACCGATCCAGATCCTCTAACTAAACCTGTCACCTATTTTCCAAGGATCTGTATCCCTCTGCTCCCTGCCCATTCATGTATCTGTCTAGATATATCTTAAATGACGCTATCTTACCCACCTCTACCACCTCCGCTGGCAATGCCTTCCAGGCACCCACTACCCTCTGCGTAAAGAACTTTCCATGCACATCTCCCTTAAACTTTTCCCCTCTCACTTTGAAATCGTGACCCCTAGTAATTGAGTCCCCCACTCTGGGAAAAAGCTATCCACCCTGTCTATACCTCTCATGATTTTGTAGAACTCAATCAGGTCCCCCCCAACCTCTGTCTTTCTAATGTAAATAATCCTAATCTACTCAACTTCTCTTCATAGCTAGCACCCTCCTTACCAGGCAACATCCATGGACCTGAACACCCAGATCTCTCTGTGCATCAATTTTCCCCAGGGCTTTTCCATTTACCGTATAGTTCGCTCTTGAATTGGATCTTCCAAAATGAATCACCTCGCATTTGCCTGGATTGAACTCCATGTGCCATTTCTCCACCCAACTCTCTAATCTATCTATATTCTGCTGCATTTTCCGACAGTCCCCTTCACTGTCTGCTACTCCACCAATCTTAGTGTCATCTGCAAACTTGCTAATCAGACCATCTATACCTTCTTCCAGATCATTTATGTATATCACAAACAATAGTGGTCCCAACATGGATCCCTGTGGAACACCACTGTTCACAGTTCTCCATTTTGAGAAACTCCCTTCCACTACAACTCGCTGTCTCCTGTTGCCCAGCCAGTTCTCTATCCATCTAGCTAGTACACCCTGGACCCCATGTGACTTCACTTTCTCCATCAGCCTACCATGGGGAACCTTATCAAACGCCTTACTGAAGTCCATGTATATGACATCTACAGCCTTTCCCTCATTTATCAACTTTGTCACTTCCTCAAAGAATTCTATCAAATTGGTAAGACATGACCTTCCCTGCACAAAACCATGCTGCCTATCACTAATAAGCCCATTTTCTTCCAAATGTAAATAGATCCTATCCCTCAGTATCTTCTCCAGCAGCTTCCCCACCACTGACAACAGGCTCACCGGTCCATAATTACCTGGATTATCCTTGCTACCCTTCTTAAATAAGGAGACAACACTAGCAATTCTCCAGTCCTCGGGGACCTCAGGGATAACCTTAGGGGTAACTATGTCCCTGCAGCTTGTTGCTGTCACCACCTGAGCCTCCCAAATGATCCTGTGTTCATCCAGCTCCGGCTCCAGTTCCCTAACGCGGTCTTTGAGGAGCCGGAGCTGGGTGCACTTCCCACGGGTGAAGTCAGTAGAGTCTTACCTCCCACATCCTGCAGGAGGAACATTGCACTGGCCTGACTGCCATCCCCTCTGAATTTAAACTTCCCCGAAAGATTTGTAAAAATTAGAGAATAAATTACTTACCCTTTTATTCTTAGGTTAGAGGATGTGGAAGGGTGAGATTCCGCCCAAACTATATTTCCCAGGGGTCTTCTTGCTCCCGGTCTCCTCCTTCTCTGCCGCCAAAAATGAAGGCCCCGAAGCACTAACGGTAAATTATTATACTCGCCGCTTACCTTCCCAGCAGTCCCCCTGTGCTCTCTCCCGACTCAGAGGAAATCATTGTGCTTATTGACCCTCCACACACAGTCTTTTTTTTTGGTTAGAGGAGGAGGGTGGGTGGGAGACACTACACATGTAGTGTCTTGGGTTTAGCCACTGCCAGAATATATGATTTTACCATCCCAGCAGTTCCCTCGCGCTCTCTCCTGACTCCCGTCGCTGAACAAATAGAGGCCGCAGACTCACAAGGTAAGTCTTTTAAACTAAAAGCTTACCTTCCCAGCAGTCCCCTCACACTCTCTCCCAACTCCCGCCGCTGAACAAATTGAGGAATGAAAGAATTCTGGAATGAAAGAAGAAACTTCTCGGAAGAACAGGTGGGTTGGCACTTGGAGAGAATCATTAAAACAGTGGAGGTGATGGCCTCTTGGCATTATCATGGTATAGATAGAGTAGACAGCTAGAGACTTTTTCCGTGGGTAGCTATTACGAGGGGGCATAGTTTTAAAGTGAGTGGAGGTAGATATAGGGGAGACATCAGAGGTAGGTTCTTTACTCAGAGAGTGGTAGGGGCGTGGAATGCATTGCCAGAGACAGTAGAGGAGTCGGCCTCATTAGGCGCATTTTAGCGACTTTTAGATAGGCATGTGGATGATAGTATAAGGTAGGAGTGGAAGTTAGATAGACCTTAGGATTATGGTAAAAGTTCAGCACAACATTGTGTGCTGAAGGGCCTGTACTATGCTGTACTGTTCTACGTTCTATGTTCTATCGCTAGACTATAAATCCATAAGCTCAGCCAGTGTCCTGGGGACCAGGGTTAGAATCCAACCATTTGAATTCAATTTCTTTTAAAATCTGGAATTCAGAATCCACTGATTGTCAGGAAAAACACATCTGGAGTTGTTCGTTACATCGCCGAGCCGGTTGTTCTGTTGTATACAGACATTTCATTTCCTTTCTAGGCAACATCATTAGTGCGACTTCTGATCAAAGCGTTGGTGTCCTGTTTGCTTCCGGATTTATATGATCCTCTGGTGTGATGGTCTTGTCACTTCCGGTTCTGTTGTTTATGCAGTGCTCTGTATACAGGGTCTATTTCTATGTGTTTGTTAACTGAGTCCCGTGTTGAGAGCCAGACTTCCAGAAAGTCCCTTGCATGTCTGGTGTTCACTTTGTCCCAATTGAACTGATGACCTTCATTGTCTCTGTGTATTGAGACAAATGAATATTGGTCGTGGCTTTTTACTGCATGCTGGTGTTTGTATTTCCTGGTCGTCAGTTTCCTCCCCATTTGGCCAATGTAATGTTTATTGCTTTCGCTGCATAGGATTCTGTATATCACGTTGGTCTTGTTTACTGTTGGTATGGGGTCTTTAGTCTTTGATAACATTTGGCACAGTGTTGCTGTAGGTTTCTGTACAATTATACCCTTATGTGTTCTGAGGAGTCTGGTAGTCATTTCTGATATATTTTTTATATAGGGTAGCGTTGCTCGTGTCTTCTGTTGTACCTTGTCCTCTGTCATTTGCTTTGAAGGCATCTGCGAACGAAACTTCTTGGGTATCTGTTGTCGGTGAATCCGTTATAACAGCGAATTCCAGACCGGAGATAGGAAGGCCGCACACATGGACCAAATCCTTTCCCTAAATAGCAGCCAGAGCTGCATCAAGACACTATTTAAATGAGCCGCATCACATTGCAACATCCCAGAACTCTGGAGAATGGAAGAGGAACACCTACACAAGAAATTTTGTCCGTAGATGCCTACAAAACAAATGACAGTCAGAGGATAAGGTACAACAGAAGACAATAGCAATGCTACCCTATATAAAAAAATATCAGAAATGACTACCAGACTCCTAACATTGCATAAGATCATGATTGCACACAAACCTACAGCAACACTGCACCAAATGTTATCAAAGACTAAAGACCCCATACCGACAGTAAACAGGACCAATGTGATATACAGAATTCCATGCAGCGGATGCAATAAACATTACATTGGCCAAATGGGGAGAAAACTGACGACCAGGAAACATGAAAACCAGCCGGCAATAAAAAGACACGACCAATATTCACTTGTCTCAATACACAGAGATAATGAGGGCCATCAGTTCGACTGGGACAAAGTGACCATACTGGGACAAGTGAACACCAGACATGCAAGGAAATTTCTGGAAGCCTGGTTCTCAACACAGGACTCCATTAACAAACATATGGAAATAGATCCCGTATACAGACCGCTGCTAAAATAACAGAGCCGGAAGTGACAAGCCCATCACACAGGAGGATCATATAAATCCAGAAGGAAACAGAACACCAATGCTTCAATTAGAGGTCGCACTGAAGATATTGCCTAGAAAGGTAATGAAACATTTGCACACCACAGAACAACAGGCTCGGTGACCAAACGAACAACTGCATCCACAGCCCGAGCTACAAATTTTCACTTAGACCTTAAAAAAAAGAATCTGGCTCACTAATGTCCTTCAGGGAAGGAAATCTGCAGTCCTCACCTGGTCTGGCCTACTTGTGACTCCAGACTTACTCTCAACCGCCCTCTGAAATGTTTTTGAAACAGGTATATAATTGGTTCCACTTGCCAATTCCTATATCAAATACTGCGAACATCCCCTTTCTACTAGAGCTACAGGCTTTTATCAACAATCAGGCAAGTGATTTGAAACCTGAAAGAACTGCGGATGCTGTAAATCGGAAACAAAAACAGAAGTTGCTGGAAAAGCTCAGCAGGTCCGGCAGCGTCTGTGGAGAGAGATCAGTTAATTTACCCAGGCATGTTTGCGTACATCAGGGAAAGGACTGCACAGCCTGAACCAGCAGTCAGTGAAACAGGTTGCAACTTTGTTCAAAGTTAACAAAGGTAAAAATTAAACTTTACAATTTTAACACTATTTCTCACTATCTGATCCTTTCCAAATTTTTTTTTCATTCACAGGATGAGGGCTTCACTGACCAGGCGGCATTTATTGCCCATCCCTAATTGGCCAGAAAGCAGTTAAGACTCAACTACATTACTGTGGGCCTGGAGTCACATGTAGGCCAGACCAGGTAAGGATGGCAGTTTCCTTTCCTAAAGGGCATTAGTGAACCAAATGAGGTTTTCAACGATTGACAATGAATTCATGGTCATCATTTAACTCTCAGGGAGGCAATAGCCTAATGGTATTATTGTTGGACTATTAATCCAGAGACCCAGATATAGAGCTGGGAACCTGGGTTTGAATCCTACCGTGGCAGATGGTGGAATTTGAATTCAATAAAAATATCTGGAATTAAGCATCTAATGACGACCATAAACCAATAGTCAGAAAAGCCCATCTGGTTCACTAATGACCTTTAGGGAAGGAAACTGCCATCCTTACCTGGTCTGGCCTACATGTGACTCCAGACCCACAGCAATGTGGTTGACTCTGAACAATTAGGGATGGACTTATAAATACTGCCTCAGTGACACCCTCATCCCAGGAATGAATAAACAAAAACAAATTCCAGGTGTTTATTGAATTCAAATTCCACTATGTGCCATGGCAGGATTTGAACCACAGACCCAGAACAACACCTGGGTCTCTGGATTAATAGTCCAGTAATAATATGACTAGGCTATTGCCTCCCCTAAATTCTTCATCACTTCCCAGGCACTCATAACTTTTGCCGGTTTGTCAAATTCTTTGGTGCATTCCTTTCTCTTAGCAGGTTGATTGTCTGTCTCTTACTTCTAGGGTGAGCTGATCTGCCCTCTGCCATGTCCAGACCAGCCTTTAGCTCGGCTGGAGAGTGGGGTCTCCTTCCTGGCCCTGCTAGGACCTGGTTCTTGCACCTCCCTGCTCACCTTCCCAAATTTTCCCAGGACTTGATCAATCAGGGACATCGAGTTAATTGGTCTTATCACCTTGAAATGTTGTTAATGGTTTTTGATGGCTTGCTAACAATGAACCCTTTGAGGTGGCTGCTTTGGGACCTGGGTTTCGGGTTTTTTTTGGCCCAGAATGTGCCCCTGGTCTTTGTTTTACTGAGGACCGTTTGCCCCATGTATCTAGTGTTGCCTTGTTTGTTAGGGAATGTTGAACTGCCCTTTCACTGTTGCTCATGTGCTCTGGTGCCTCTCTGGTTTTCAAATATCTGGGCTTGTATCTTACACGGACCTGTCTCTAGGCAGAATTGTCCCTGTGTGCCTGTGTGACTTGGATCAGCATTATCAGCATACCTTGTTTTTTGGTCAATTTCTGTGCCTTGTTTATTTCAGTTGCTGTGCTTGTTATTTCTGGCTTTCCTTTTTATGATTTTTATTTTAATTGAGAAGTCACAGACTGCTGCACAATCCTCTGTCTCACTGACTGGGGGTTTGTAATACATCCCCAACAATGTGTTTGTCCCTTTTGTGTTTTTTACTTCTACACGTACAGTCTCATATGATTATCCTTCCAAGATTACATCCCTCTTCACTGCAATATTCATTCCTTGACCAAAACTGCAACCTTGAGGGGTGGCATGGTAGCTCAGTGGTTTCCACTGTTGCCTCACAGCCCAGAGATCCAGGTTTAATTCCAGTCTTGGGTGACTGTCTACGTGGAATTTGCATGTTCTCCACAGAGGTGGACCAAAGGGTCTATTTCCATGCTGTAAGACTCTATGTCTGCATAGGTTTCCTCCCACAGTCCAAAGATGTGCAGTTTAGGTCAATTGGGCATGCTAAGTTGTCCCGTTGTGTCCAGGGTAGTGCAGGCTTGGTAGGTTAACCATGGTAAATATGAGGTTGGGATTTTTTTTGGCTGGTCAGTGCAGACTTCAGTATCTGCACTGTAGGGGTTCTACAGTCTATTCTATTTTATGAACGCCTCTTCAGTTTCCCTCTATTCATCTGAATACCCTATAAGCAGACATGTTGAGTTACCAATCATGTCCATCTTTCAGCCAAGTCTTGGTCACAACTATGATATCACAATTTACATGCCTATCTGCACCCTCAGCTCAACTGTCTGACTCTTCAGGTTCCTGGCATTAAAATATATTTCACTTAGCCTTGCTAAACTCACTTTTCTCTCATCTACAAATTCTCTGCCTTCTAGAATCATTGACTCATGTTTTAACTTTGAATCCCCTCTCAGGTGCTCTCCCTCTGAACTACTGATCAGGATCGCATCCCCCTGCCAGTCTAGTTTAAACCAACCCCAACAGCATTGGCAAACCTCTCCATGAGGATATTGCTCCCCATCGTGTTCAGAAGTAACCTGTCCAATCTAAGGCCATCCCTCCTGCAGCCTTGATGCCAAGGGCTGTCACTCTCACCTCACCTCTAGAATTCAGCTCTTTTGTCCATGTTCGAACCAAAGCTGTAACGAGGTCAGGAGCTGAGTGGCCCTGGCGGAACCCAGTCTTGAGTTACTATATCTATCGAAGTTTGTCTCATTTAGCATGGTGATAGTGCCACACATCACCATGGAGAGTATTCTCAATGTGAAGGCAGGACATTGTCTCCACAAGGACTGTGCAGTGGTCTCTCTTACAAATACTACAGCCAGTAGATTGGTAAGGATGAGGTCTGATATGATTATTTCTTCAAGTTGATTCCCTTACCACCTGCTGGAGATCCAGTCTAGCAGCTATGTCCTTTAGACTCACACTGATGCTGATCCTTCACCAAGGATTGAGAAAGGATTTCAGGTTCTGAAAGGTCTCAATTTGGCCCCTGATTATAACCAGCTGCCCATCACTGAACAAGATAATGAAAGCATTCCGAACAGGCACCAGGGGATTTAATGGAACGTTGTTTAGGATCTGGAATGCCCTGACCACCTTCATGTGTCCAATGGAGAAAGCATTTGTTGACCTTATTTTCTGGTCGCTCTCTGTGTATCTGGACAGATTTATGTTCAGTTCGACACTCAAGCAGAACCCTGCAGGACTAGACACTGTCTTCACCACTTCTTATAGTTTCACTTGAAAGACAAACCAGAGAAATGCCAACTTTTCCAAACAAAAGTACAAAACTTTCAGCACTTTGTTCCTGAGGAAGGCATTACTCCTGGCAATGAGAAATCCAAATGGGTGAGGAGTGGCTTTGGTCTAGGACAGGCAGGGAGCTGCTTGGGTTCCTTGGTCTCACTTGTTATTGCAAGAGCTTTGTACAAGACTGTGTATAGTGGACTGTCCCATACAATGATTTGTTGAGGAAATCAGGGAATGCTTTGATGCACGAGGTGTGATACTTCACAGAGCATCCCAGGGAGTAGGACACCACCCCTCACCAATGTGATGTTAGGTAAGTTTGTGGATGACACAAAGATTGACCAGGTGGTTGACAGTAAGGGAGAAGGTGTTAGGCTTGAGCAGGATGTAAATGGGTGGATCAGATGAGCAGATCAGTATCAGATAGAACATAATCCTGATAAATGTGCGGGGATGTACTTTGGAAGCAAGAACAAGACAAGGGAGTACACAATGATTGGCAGGACACTAGGAAGAACAGAGGGATTTTGGGGTGTTTATACACGGATCCCTGAAGGCGGCAGGACAGGTTGATAGGGGAGTTAATAATGCACATGAGGCAGTTACATTAATTGGTCCAGGTATAGATTATAAGAGCAGGGAGGATATGTTGAAACTGTACAGGACTTTGGTTAGGTTACAGCTTGAGTATTGTGGGCAGTTCTGGTCACTGCACTATGGGAGAGATAGTAGGAACTGCAGATGCTGGAGAATCTGAGGTAACAAGGTGTAAAGCTGGACGAACACAGCAGGCCAAGCAGCATCACAGGAGCAGGAAGGCTGTGATGAAGGGTCTAGGCCCGAAGCGTCAGCCTTCCTGCTCCTCTGATGCTGCTTGGCCTGCTGTGTTCATCCAGTTCTACACCTTGTTATCGCACTATGGGAGAGGTCTGATTGCCCTGGAGAGGGTACAAAGGAGGTTCACCAAGATGTTGCTTGAGATAGAGTGTGTCCGTGATACAGAGAGACTGGATAAGCTCAGGTTGTTTTCTCTAGAGCAGAGAAGGTTAAGGGGACCTGTTAGATGCGTATAAGATGATGAAGTGTATGGAACGGCTGCTTTCTATCCCTCCTGTCCCCTCATTTGAAGGCTGTATACTGAGGAGGCATAGTTTAAAAGTGAAAGGCAGGGGATTTGGAGGGGATTTAAGGAAGAACTTTGTGAGCCGAGTGTGGGAAAGTGGGGCTAGTGCGTGTAGAAGTATACTTTTGGCAGTATAGACTTGATGGGCTGAAGAACCTCTTCTGTACTGTAGGCTTCTATAGATGGAGAAAGAGTTACATTTCAAATCCAATTTGACTTTTCAGGCTGAGTTGTGACTTCAGGCCCACAACAATTTGATTAAATCTGAACTGCCCTCTGAAATGGCCTAGAGAGCCAAACAGTCCGTGGCAATTAAGGAGGGGCAATAAATATTGACTTTGTCAGTGACACCCACATCCCATGATAGAGCTAAAGAAAGTGCTTGTTGATGCAGTGTACATAATGGAGGTTAGTAATAATTCAGACCCTGTTATCTGACTGAGTTTATTCAGCTCATCACAGTGAACAGTCACAACCAGCTTTATTTCAATAGTTCCAGTCACATTTCCAAAGTCTGGTCAATAATACTTCATTTGAAAGAGTGCAAGAAATCGGAGTTTAATTCACTGAGTTTCCCTATTACAGAGGGAACTTCAACATTACAGACTAATTGACACAAATCAGATTATTACAAGTCCATTAATCATAAATGAAAGCACCACCATTGTCTTAATTAGTTATTACAATCATAGAAACAGAGTAAGTAGGAACAGGAGGAGGCCATTCACCCTTCAAGCCTGCTCCACCATTCAATATGATCATGGCTGATCATTCAACTCAGTCCTCTGTTCCCAATTTATCCCCACATCCTTTGATCCCTTTAGCCCTAAGAAGAATATCTAAGTCCTTCTTGAAAACATTCAATGTTTTGATCTCACCCGCTTTCTGTGTTAAAAAATTCCAGTCTCCCCACTCTCTGGGTGAAGACATTTTACCTCATCTCAGTCCGAAATGGTGCTCCCCATATCCTTAAACTGTGACCCCTTGTTCTGGACTGGCTTGTCATTCCTTCCAGTGTTTATTCCATCCTGTCCTGTTAGAATGTTATAGTTTTCAATGGGATCTCCCCCTCATTCTTCAAAGCATCAGTGAATATAGACAAATAAACCAAGTAACTGTGGATGCTGCAAATCAGAAAAAAAACAGAAATTGCTGGAGAAATTCAGCAGGCCCCACAGCTTCTGTCTCTGTGGTGCAATAAGTTAGTGTGTTCAGCTGTTATCTGGAAGGCTGGTGGTTCAAAACCATGCAGGGGCGAAGGACTTCATTACTTTGGAGTGGCATAGTGGCTCGGTGGTTCATACTGCTGCCTCACAGTACCAGGGACCTGGGTTCACTTCCAGCCTTGATCTGTACGGAGTTTGCGCATTCTCCACTTGCCTACATGCATTTCCACCGGGTGCTCTGGTTTCCTCCCACAGTCCAAAGTCATGCAGGTTAGATGGACTGGATATGCTAAATTGTCCGTAGTGTCCAGGGATGTGTAAGTCGTGTCGGAAATGCTGGGTTACAAGGATAGAGTACAGGGATGAGTCTGAGGGTGTGATGCTCCTTGCGAGTCAGTGTGGACTTGTTGGGCCGAATAACCTGTTTCCATACTGTTAGGATTCTATGAAACTAGTTAATATTTCAGGTCTAATGACCTTTTTTCAGAACTGATGGCAGGTAAGAAAAGGTGGTATAAATGCAGAAGACAGGGGCTGCAGTAAAGGTGTCAGAGGATAAATGAGATGGAACACAGAGGTGAGAGAAAGACAGGCAATCAAAGGATGAATAATGGTAAGCCAAGAAAGAAGGAAATCTGATAATGGGCGCCATAAGTGGGTGAAACTGTGTTGGCTGTGATTAAGGCAGCCTATGTGATGACTAGGCCTGGGGTGTCGGGGGAATGGGTAAAAGACATGGAAGACGGTGTTCAGGACCTTAACTTATTGACCTCGATGTTGAGCCCTGAAGGCTGAAGGGCGCTCGAGTGGAAAATGAGCATGAGCTGAACCTCGATGGAGCACTGGAGCAAACCCAACACAGAATATAGGCCTAACCAATCCAGTTTCTCTTCAGATGTCAGTCCTGCCATCCCTGGTAAACCTTTATTGCACTCCCTCCATAGCCAGAACATCCTTCTTCAGATAAGGAGGCCCAAACTGCACACAATACTCCAGGTGTCGTTTCACCAAGGTCCTGTACAACTGCATTAATACATCAAGAGTAAACAGTGTATTCTACACAGGACACTGTATGGTACATGTGTACAAACAGTATGTTACAACTGAACTGTAATAGTGTGGAGTTTTGTCATTTGGCAGTAATGGGTGGATGGGCTTTCTGATCTCTCCCTCCATTCTCAATACTCTCCTCACTAATAAACAGTTCGGGTCTGGTTTATGTTGCACGGACCCACTCAGACAAAATCCCACATGTAAAGCAGTAAATCACTGACTGAAAATAACAGCCCAGACAGGCAGTCAGCGTCACTGAGAGGAGGGGGTGGGGACCCTGTGACAGTGTCACTGAGAGGAGCGGGTGGGGACCCTGTGACAGTGTCACTGAGGGGAGGGGGTGAGGACCCTGTGACAGGCAATGTCACTGAGAGGAGGGGTGGGCACCCTGTGACAGTGTCACTGGGAAGAGCAGGTGTGGTGAGGAAGCTCACAGAGCTGCAGAGAGACTGATCATGGGCCTGAGTTGTACTTGGCCATAAACAGAAGTCGGATTGTCGAGTCTATACTTAAGGAAGAGCAAGTGTAAATTAAAAGGAAGGTTTTTTATTCTATTAAGGTATGTCTGTTAGCAGAGGCTCATGGTTTTCCCATCCTGTACACTGTGGGAAATCTGAGATTCTCCTGGTGGTTTGGATGAGCATGTGCAGGAAGTGCCTCTGACCAGAACAATGTTTGCCCTGGGTTTTGGAGACAGGAGCAGCTGGAGGCACCATGGGGCATTCATGAGGCTGAAAAAATTGTGGATATTACATTTTAGAGTGTGGTCACTGCATTGATATGGAGTTGGGAAGACATGTTGTATCTGTACAGGATATTGATATGGCTACCTTTGGAATACTGCATTCAATTCTGTTCTCCCTGCTGTAGGAAAGATGTTCTTTAACCAGAAAGGGTTCAGAAAAGATATATAAGAATATTGCCAGTGTTGGAGGTTTTGAGCTATAGGGAGAGGCTGAATAGACTGGGGCTATTTCACCTGGAGTGTCAGAGGCTGAGGGGTGACCTGATAGAAGTTTATAATATCATGAGGGGCACAGATTGGATGAATTGTCAATGTCTTTTCCCCAAGGTAGGGGAGTCCAAATTAGAGGGTATAGGATTAAGGTGAGAGGGGAAAGATTTAAAAGGGACCTTGGGGCAACTTTTTCACGCAGAGGATGGTGTGTGTATGGAATGAGCTACCAGAGGAAGTGGTGTTTAAAGGGCATCTGGATGGGTATATGAATAGGAAGGTTTCAGAGGGATATGGGCCAATTGCTAACAATTGGGACTAGATTAATTTAGAATATCTGTTGGACATGGACAAGTTGGACCAAAGAGTCTGTTTCTGTGCTGTACATCTCTCTGACTCTATCTGTGGAGCCCAGCCAGAGACAATGCAGTGGCAGTGTGGGTGGTCCAGCTGCTCAGGTTGGGGAGAGAGTGATAGTAAGAAGTGTCGAGGAGCAATAGTGGTCAAGGAATTATTAGTGAGGGGATTTGACAGACATCTCCACAGTCTTAGACATGACTCTTGGATGGTGTGTTGCCTCCTAGGTGCCAGGATCAAGGATATCATGGAATAGCGGAAAGGCATTTGGAAAGGTAACAGTGAGCAGCCAGAAGTTATGGTCCCTGTTTGGACCAATGATAGAAGAAGAGAAATGAGGTCCTGCAAGCAGACTTTAGGGAGTTAAGTCAGAAATTGAAAGGTAGGAATGTCTGGATTTCCCTTGGTGCCATGCAGTAGAGAGTATCAGAATGGAAGGATAGAGCAGATGAAGTTGGATGTATTACATCTGAACAGAAACAGGACCAAGCTCCTTGCAGGAAGGTTTACAATGCTGTTTGGGCAACTTTAAATAGATCATCAGGAGAATGGGATCATGACAAGTTGTTAAGAAGAGATGAGATGGGATTGGAGGTTAAAATGTGAATAAGTTAGCTACAGAAGAATATAACATGAGTTTAGCAAGTTAAATCATAGAATCTCTACAGTGTCGAAGCAGACCATTCAGCCTATCGAGTCCACACTGACCCTCCGAAGAGCATCCCATGCATTCCCTGTAACCCTGCATTTCCCATGGCGAATCCATCTAGCCTGCACATCCCTGAACACTGTGGGCAATTTAGCACAGCCAATCCACCTAACCTACACATCTTTGGACTGTGGGTGGAAACCGGAGCACCCAAAGGGAACCCATGTGGACAAAGGGACAATGTGCAAACTCCACACAGTCACCTGAGGCTGTAATTGAACCTGGGTCCCTGGCGCTAATCACTGAGCCATCATGCTGCCCCTAAATGGAATATATTTTAATGCAAAGAGCCTGAGGGCACAGAGGGAAGTGGCCTGAGGCCACAGATAAGTGCATGGGAGTATGATATCATAAATGTAACGAAGACTTTGCTGAAGGATAGACATGATTGGCAGCTCAACATTCCTGATTATAGGGCATTCAGAAGAGACAGAGAGGGGGATAGAAGAGGATGGAAGTTTCACAATATTGATCAAGGAATCATTTATCACAGTGAGGAGGGACATCATCAAATGAAGCCATATAGCTTTTTACCAACAACACAAAGGGACAAACATGCTGTTGGGTGTGTAATAGTCAGGGAGACACAGATGGTCAAACATGTAGTCAAATTTCCGAGAAGTGATCTAAGAATTCATTGGTTTCCAGTGAAATAGATGGCAATGAATGAATAATGTATCCAAAACTCAAAACCTTATCCCCTGAAGGACAGCGGCATCAACTCAGGGGAGGAGGAACTGGGAAGCTCAGGAGAGCTCAGTTTATGTTGAATGAACACACAGAGTGACACCTGAGTAATTTTCCCAGAAATGACAATCTGCAGGAAAGTTACCGTGATACCACAGACCCTTGTAGCGTCTCACTACGTGTACAACATGCCCAGAGGGAAGGTTATTGTACACATGTTCTGCAACCTCTCTTGCATCAGACCAGCCATCTTTCCCCTCCATTAACTTCCTTATGTAACTTTTATCAATTGGTTTTGGATCAATTGCAAAGGAGACAACAGCATTAACCCCATTGTGTCTGAAAAGATCAAATCGATTGTAACCATTCACCCAGTGATTCTTAAAGGTATGGACAGGGTTGTAGACCCGAACAGACCAATTAATCCAGTCATATTTCTTCAATAAACCACCTAGAATGTAACTTGCACATTCACAGTTATTTCTTCCACCTCTTTCATTTAACATTTTCTTAACATCTATTTCTACCTGGTTAGCAAACTCATTGATGCACCGATCTATCATGGATTTCATTTTACTGTCTACTTTGGCCATTTTCTCATTCCATTCTGTCTTCAATGCCTCTACATCGGTCCCAGTGATAGCGGAGTGACCCACCAGGGCAATCAGGCCAATGCAGAAGAGCTCCTTGAGATGGGAGCAGAGACCCTCTATCAGACGCCGATTCCTCTGGTCATATTCCATGGCAGTTTCCAGAATGGGTTTGCCAAAGACGGCAGAATATCCCATCACTGCATCAAAGAGAGTGTGAAGGTTCTGGTCACCTTTAGTCGCATTGAAGTGTGTGAGGAACTCTTGTTTCTCATTCTCCCGGAATTCCGCTGTTGCATTCAGGATGTCCATGTACTTCCTGAATTGGTTTTTCAGATTCACTTCAATGGGGAAGTACTGATTATTAACTGTGCTTTGTTCGATAGCCCGAAGCACTTGCTGAACCTGATCTGAAATGATGTCCAGCTTATTTCTGACAATCTGGAACTGCTCCTTCATGTATCTCAACTCCTCACTCTCCACATTACCCAAAGCAAGTTTAACAATTGCTGCTGCTACCCCAAATATAGCTCCTGTTGCTCCAGCAGCAGAGGCTAATTTTTCTAAGCTTTCAACAACTGATATTGCATTCTTCACTGCAATCATTGCGGTTGCAACCTCGGTGCTGGCTTTTGCTAATTCTAGTGAATCTACTGCTGTTCCAGCCATACTGATGGTCCAAGCACTGTATTTAGATGGTCACTTCCTTCAGTTGTCCCTGAAAAGAAAAGGAATAATAGTTCATCTGTGACTCCACAAAGTATCAAAGAGAGTGAAGACCATAAGAACTTGAAGCAGGAGTAGGCCATTCAGCCCCTCAACTCTGCTCCAGTGTTTAATACAGTCATATCTGATCTCATCGCGAACTCAACTCCACTTTCTTGCCCATTTTCCATGTCTGTCAATCTCCTGCTTAAATTTACTCAATGTCCCAGCATCCACCGCACTCTGGGGGAGTGAATTCCACAGATTTACGACCCTTTGAGAGGAGGAATTTCTCCTCATCTCTGTTTTAAATCTGCTACCCTTTATCCTAAAACCGTGACCTCTCATTCTAGATTGTTCATTATTAGGAAATATCCTCCCTCCATCTATTTTGTCAATCCCCTCTAGCATCTTATAGACTCATAAGAACATAAGAACATAATAAGTAGGAGCAGGAGTAGGCCATCTGGCCCCTCGAGCCTGCCCCGCCATTTAATAAGATCATGGCTGATCTTTTTGAGACTCAGCTCCACTTAGCCGCCCACTCACCATAACCCTTAATTCCTTTACTGTTCAAAAATTTATCTAGCCTTGCCTTAAAAACATTCAGCGAGGCAGCTTCAACCGCTTCACTGGGAAGGGAATTCCACAGATTCACAACCCTTTGGGTGAAGAAGTTCCTCCTGACCTCAGTCCTACATCTGCTTTCCTATATTTTGAGGCGATGCCCTCTAGTCCTAGTTTCACCTGCTAGCGGAAACAACCTCCCTGCCTCCACCTTATCTATTCCCTTCATAATCTTATATGTTTCTGTAAGATCTCCCCTCATTCTTCTGAATTCCAATGAGTATAATCCCAGTCTACTCAGTCTCTCCTCATAATCCAACCCTCTCAACTCTGGGATCAACCGAGTGAATCTCCTCTGCACCCCCTCCAGTGCTAGTATATCTCTTCTCAAGTAAGGAGACCAAAACTGCACACAGTACTCCAGGTGTGGCCTCACCAGGACTCTATACAGCTGCAGCATAGCCTGCCTGTATTTCAATCAATTCAATCTACTTCATTCTTTGAAACTCCAGACAGTATAGGCCTAAACTGCTCAATCTGTCTCTGTAAGACAAACCCCTCATCTCTGGAATCAGTCTAGTGACCCTTTTCTGAACTGCCTCGAATACAACTACAGCCCTCCTCATCTCACAACTACCTTCTCAATGGCACCTAGGGATGGGCAACAAATGCTGGCCAGGCAGTCATGCCGAGATCCCACAAATGAATAAGTAAAACTTAAGGAGACCAAAATGGCATGCCATACTCCAGGTGCGGTCTCATTAAAAACTTGTGTACTAGCAGCAACACTTCCCTAGTTTTACACTGTATTCTTTTAACAATAAACGCCAAAATTCTATTTGCCTTCCTTATTATCTACTGTAGCCGCATCCTACTTTTCTACAATTTATGCACAAGGACACCCAGATCCCTCTGCACTGAAGCGCTCTGATGTTTCTCTCCGCTGAGATAATGTTACCTTTCTATTCGTCTGACTAAAATAGATAAGATCACACTTAGTACCAAAGAATTTTACATTACAGAAGGGGGCCTTTGTGTCTGTACCGGCTGCTGAAAAAGCTATTCAGCTAGTCCCATTCTTCAGCCCTATCTCCAAAACCATCTGCATTCATCAATTTCAAAATATATATCCAGGTTTCTTCTGAAGTTCCATTAGAATCTGTCTCCATCTGTCTCCCAAGCAGCGTATTCCAAATAAAGAAATTTCTCCGATCTCACTCCGAGCTCTCTTGCTGAGTCTTGAAATTGTGACCCCTAGTTACTGACATAACAACTAATAGAAACAGACTAATCCTCCTTGACCCTGTCAAAATTATTCATCATTTTGAACACCTCAATGAGGTCACCTCTTCATCTTCTCTGCTGCGAGGAGAATAAGCCCAGTCTCTCTAATCTTTCCTTGCATCTAAAATCCATCAATTCTGGTATCATTCTAGTAAGTCTCCTTTGCACTGTCTCCAAGGCTTTAACATCCTTCTTTAAATAAGGTGCCCAGGTCTGAACACAATATTCCAAATGAGGTCTGTGTAGCATCACTTCCATCTTAACCTCCATCTGCCAAATGTTGGCCAATTCATCAAACTTATTCGTGTCCAATTGTAAATTTCTTATTTTTTTCATTGAAACTTACTTTCCCACCTATTTTAGTGTCATCTGAAAATCCAGACACAGTACCTTTTATCCCTGCATTCAAGTCATTAATATTGGATGTAAACCCAAGGACCGAACCCATGACACGCCTCTAGTTACTCCTTGCCACCCAGAAAAAGACCCATTTATCCTGACTCTCTGCTTTCTGTTGGTTAACCAATCCTCTTTACAAGCTAATAAATTACCCCAACCCTATGTGATCTTACCTTTGTATTAGGCTTTTGTGGGACACCTTTTGAAATTCCTCCTGGAAGTCTGGATACACTGTACCTAGTGAGGTACCACAGGGTTCGGTGTTGGGACCCCAGCTATTCACATTATTTGCTATTGATTTGGATGAGGAAACAAAACATAACATCTCAAAGATGGCAGATGATACCAAGTTGGGTGGGAAGGTGAACTATGACAAGGATGCAGAGATCCTTCAGCATGATCTCAACAGGTTGGGTGAGTGGGCAAATCAATGGGCAAAGCGAGGCGAGGAATAGGGAGAGAGAGCAGTTGAACACGTGGCTACAGGGATGGTGCAGGAGGGAGGGATTCAGATACCTGGATAATTGGGGCTCATTCTGGGATAGGTGGGACCTCTACAAACGGGATGGTCTACACCTGAACCAGAGGGTACCAATATGCTGGGGGGGAAATTTGCTAATGCTCTTCGGGAGGGTTTAAACTAATTCAGCAGGGGGATGGAAACCTGAATTGTAGCTCCAGTGTACAGGAGGTTGAGAGTAGTGAGGT